GAAGTCAAATTGTAAGGCACCTTGGGTCCCAAACTGGGAGAAAGATAGAGCTTGTTGTTGTTGTTAAGTGCCTTCAAGTTGTTTCTGACTTATGGCCACCCTAAGGTGAACTTCTCATGGGGTTTGCTTGGCAAGTTTCTTCAGAAGGGGTTTGCCATGGCCATCCTCTGAAGTTGAGAGAGTGTGACTTGCCCAAGGTCACCCAGTGGGTTTACATGGCTGAGCAGGGATTTGAACCCTGGTCTCTAGAGTTGTACTCTGGTGCTGAAACCACTGCACCATGCTGGCTTTCCAGATAAGAGCTAAAATAAAATAAGATTGCCCTCCCCAGTCTCTTAAATTAACTTCCCAGCAGTTACTGGTTTTCCAAATGCAGACGCCTTTCCTTCTCTGTAGCTGTTAGTTGGAAGCAAACAGGGAAGGCAAGGTGGAATCCGGACTGTACATTTATTGAAATACACATTTATATACACAGCGAGAAAGGTGCCTCGGCATGCTCAGAGGTGTTCCCCAGAATGAATGTGGGAAGCTGGGCAGGATTCCTTCTGTGCAAGAGTCTTCTGTGCAAGGCTTCTCCTTCAGTTGCTCAGGGCTGTGTGTCCGTGTGCATCCCTATTTTGTCATCTCTTCGGCTACTGCTTTGTTCATCTTGTCCCTGAGATAGGCCGCCTTCTGCCACACTGACTTCAAGTCAAACCATTCATAATAGGGAACCTGTGATGGGGAAGGAAAAGAGAAAGAGGAGAAAATAGGTCAGGGCTTGACGAAGGAGGCACATCACAGCCTTGCGAGGCTGAGGGTTAGGAAGGCGGGCAAAAAGATTCCCAGGAGAAAGAGAAATTCTGCTTGGATGCTGCAGGGCAGGATTGGGGCCAGACGAATTTCAGAAGCTAAAACCCAACAGGCCCCATCAGTTCCAAGGATTCCTTGGTTTTTGCTCCCAACAATGAGAACTAGAATCTTTCAGTGAAATAACAAAGCCAACCCCCCCCCCTCCTCAGCCATGGATAGACAAAATGCAACTTCTCTGGCCTCTGAGCAGCCCCCATCAGTTCCCCCAAAAGCTCCCCAATTGAAAATAATTGGCACAGTTTTAATTAGTCCTCAAAGTATGCAGAAAGCTCTAAACTCATGAAAACATGTTAAATTACCCTGCACCCCCAAATATCAGCATTTTCCTTTTCAGTCCCTCTCAAAATGGTGACAGGGTTTGGGAAGGTATCCTGTGGCCATTTTGAAAAGGACTGTAGACAAAAATGCAGGTTTTTGGGCTTGCAGAAGGTGCTGATACTGGGTGAGACATGGGGGAAAATTGGACCTGGCCTCAAGCTTCTCACCCTGTTGCAGACACTGTACAAAATATACATGCAAAATAATAATAAGGATATTCCTTGTTGTTGTTGTATGCCTTCATGGGATTTCTGACTAATGGCAACCCTAAGGTGAACCTTTCATGGGGTTTTCTTGGCAAGTTTCTTCAGAGGGGGTTTGGGGCTGAGGCTGAGAGCATGTGACTTGCCCAAAGTCACCCAGCGGGTTTCATGGCCAAGCTGGGAATTGAACCCTGGTCTCCAGTCATAGTCCAGCATTCAAATCACTATGCAGTGGTCCCCCCACATTTGCTGGGTTTAGGGGTGAAGGGCCCCTGCGAATGTGGGAAAACAGCAAATAAATAAAGACTATTATTTTTACCTAAGAGAACACCTCTCTAGGAATTTCCAGGTCCTCCAGTGCAACTCTGTGGTCAACATCTGCTAGAAGTTGATCATGGAATCATGCTAAAGGACCTACAAATGCCTAGAAGTGTAGGAGCTTCTAGGTTGTCCAGCACAACTCTATGGTCAACTTCTGGCAGAGTTTCGCTAGAGGAATTCAGAGATTCCTAGAGAGAACATATTAATCAAAACAGCAGATAATCAAATCTGCAAAAGTCAAAGCCGCAAATGTGGAGAGCCAAATACAGGTTGATTCAATAATAATCCACAAAAGCTCAATGTGGGATCGAAGTCCCATTATCTGCCCCAAAGGAGGTGGTACTGCAGGAGTCACGGAAGGAAGGAAGGAAGAAAGAGCTTTTCTAAGTTGAATAATAATAATAATAATAATAATAATAATAATACAGCATGTTTGAACAGGCAGAGGCCAGGATGCTTCGAACGGAGGCCCGCCTGGCTTTAAAGCAAGAGAGCACCAGGCTTAGCACAGCTCAGAGCAGCCAGAAACAGCCCCAGGGAAGGACTGGGGCAGAGGAGAAGATGGGGGCCTGATTCCATCCAGACGGATGGCCAGGGACAATGAGGGCCCACTTCCACTCTGGCGACTTTCAATGCCCTGCGCCTGACTCTGTACAAACAAGGGACTGGCCAGCACCTGGAAGAATGAAAAGCCCAGACCAGCACAACCTGCTCGAGGGAATCTATGGCCATGGGAAAAGGCACCAAAGTAAACGAGAAATTCAGGGATGGGATGAGATTGCCTGGCTGGAAAACAAGTGGTTTTAGGCAGAAACTGGCTTGGATCCAGAACTGAGCACAGGAAAATAGGTCGGTGGTGGGAGCAGGATTTTTGCCACCATGACAGCAACTGTTACGGATATACAGTGGTCCCTCCGCATTCACTGGGGTTAGGTGTGAAGAGCCCCCGAGAATGTGGAAAAACTGCAAATAATAATAATAATTAAAAAAACCCACAATTACTCTTAGCCAAGAGAACATCTTTTTAGGAATCTCCAAGTCCTCCAATGCAACTCTATGGTCAACATCAACAATGACTTAATAGAGTAGAAAGCTGGGCCAAAGCTAACAAAATGAATTTCAACACAGAGAAATGTAAGGCGCTGCACTTAGGGCAGAAAAATGAAATGCATAAATATAAGATGGGGGACACCTGGCTTAACGAGACTTATAGGTGTAAAAGGGATCTAGGAGTTCTAATAGACCACAAGTTGAACCTGAGTCAACAGTGTGATGCTGCAGCTAAAAAGGTCAATGCAGTTTTAGGCTGCATCAATAGAAGTATAGTATCTATATCAAGAGAAGTAATAGAGCCACTGTATTCTGCTTAGGTCAGGCCTCACCTGGAATAACACTGTGTCCAGTTCTGGGCCAAACAATTCAAAAAGGATGTTGAAAAACTGGAGTGTGTCCAGAGGAGGCTGACTAAAATGGTGAAGGGTCTGGAAACCATGAATCCCTATGAGGAATGACTTAGGGAGCTGGGGATGTTTAGTCTGGAGAAGAGATGGTTAAGGGGTGATATGATAGCCGTGTTTAAATATTTGAAGGGATGTCATATCGAGGAGGGAACAAGCTTGTTTTCTGCTGCTCCAGAGAACAGGACCTGGAACAATGGATGCACGCTCCAGGAAAAGAGATTCCACCTCAACATTAAGAGGCACTACCTGACAGTGAGAGCTGTTCAACAGTGGAACACTCTCCCTCGGAGATTTTGGTGGAGTCTCCTTCTTTGGAGGTCTTTAAACAGAGGCTGGATGGCCATCTGTCAAAGGGGGTGCTTTGATTGAGAGTTCCTGCATGGCAGGGGTTGGACTGGATAGCCTTTGTGGTCTCTTCCAATTCTATGATTCTGTGAAATGCCCACAGAAGGGTTTTCTCTAGGAACTTCTAGGTTCCCCAGCACAACTCTGTGGTCCACTTGTGGCAGAGCTAGGTTGGAGGACCTAGAGATTCCTAGAGAGAACATCAAAACCACAAATAATAAATCCTCAAAAGTCAAAGCGGCAAATGTGGAGGGCCAACCGTATTACACAGAGAGTCAGGGCGCTCAATTGAATAGGAATGCTATAGCGTTTGCAGAATCATAGTTGGAAGGGCCCATAGGGTCATCTAATCCAACCCCTCGGCAGCATAGGAACCTAGCTAAAGCACTCCAGAAAGATGCCCATCCAACTTCTGTTTGAAGACCTCTAAAGGAGGAGAGTCCATCGCCCTCCAAGGCAGTCCATTCCACTCTTGCCAAAGAGCTTCTCCTTTCAGGACAGTCTTCTGAATATCTGAATCCAATAGTTCCCATCATGGGCTGCATCTGAACTGCTGAAATAAAGCACTTTGACCCTCGAAGGCTTTCACAGCCGCCATTCATAGTTTTTTGTGGGTTTTTTGGGCTATGTGGCTGTGTTCTGGAAGAGTTTATTCCTGATGTTTCGCTAGCATGCTAGCAAAATGTCAGGAATAAACTCTTCCAGAACACGGCCATATAGCTCGAAAAACCCATAAGAAACACTCTGACACTGTTTTAACTGCCATGGCTCAAGGCTAAGGAATCCTGGGATTTGTAGTTTTGTGAGATATTTAGGACAGCCAGCATGGCATAGTAGTTTGAGCATTGGACTACGACTCTGGAGACCAGGGTTCAATTCTTAGCTTGGTCATGGAAACCCACTTGGTGACCTTGTGCAAGTCACATACTCTCAGCCTCAGAGGAAGACAATGGCAAACCTCTTCTGAACAAATCTTGCCAAGAAAACCCCATGAGAGGTTTGCATTAGGGTTGCCACAGGTTGGAACTGACTTTAAGGCACACAACAACAAGAACAGAAATATTTAGCCTTCTCTGTCACGAGAGCTCTGGAGGCACAAAAACTATAAATTCCAGGATTCCATAGGATGGAGTCATGGCAGTTAAAGGGGTTTCAAAACTGTATTAATTCTGCAATGTGGCAGCAGCCCTAGTCTCAGGAGCAGCAGAAAACAAGCTTGTTCCCTCTTCTTCCTTCAAATATTTAAAGATGGGGATCTTATCCTCTCTCAAGTGATGGATGGCAGAGAGAAACTGGAAGACCCAACTATCTAACTAGGTCTTAGCTTTCTCCTTCAGAGTCTTAATTCATATTTTTAAACCTCATACAGTTTTTGAAAAGTTACTTAGGAAAAAAACCCCAATAAAACAATAATTAAGAGTTGCCATTTTAAGCATGCTCATGAAGAAAGTCATGGAAATGAAGATGGCTGACTTCCTAACCAGAGTTCTTTTTCTGCTGCAGAGTTTATACTGTTTTAATTAGATGATTTTTTATATATTTTTAAAAAATCTTATAAAGTTTTAAAAATGCTTTTATCTGGCGAGCAGCCTTGGGTCCCTTTCTGGGAGAAAGGCAGCATAAAAATGAAAAAAAAAATGAAATAAATAATAATAAATAAAATAATTATGGTTTGAAGGTTGAACTACGACCCTGGAGATCAGAGTTCGATTGCCCATTGGGTGAGCTTGGGCAAGTCACACTCTCTCAGCCTCTGAGGATGGCAATGGCAAATCCACTCTGAAGAAAC